GGAAGGGAGGTGAAAGAAAGGAGGAGAAGGGAAGGAAGGAAGGAAGAGTAAGGAGGAGAGGAAAGAAGGGGAGGAAGGGAGGTGAAAGAGAGAAAGGAGAAGAAGGGAAGGAAGGAAGGATGTGAGACAGGGAAGAGTGGGAGGAAGGGACCTGAAAGAAAAAGGAAAAAAGAAGGGAAGAGAGGAAGGAAGGAAGGAAGAATGTGAGGGAGGGAGAAGAGTGGGAGGAAGGGAGGTGAAGAAGGAAGGAAGGAAGGAAGGAAGGAAGGAAGGAAGGAAGGAAGGAAGGAAAGAAAGAAAGAAAGAAAGAAAGAAAGAAAGAAAGAAAGAAAGAAAGACCAACCAAACAAATGGATAAACGTCTTCTGTGTTTGAAAATGAAATCTTCCCTTTCACAAAGCAAGGGAAAGATTTTTAATTCCCAATTGCTTCCAACTAACCAAATTTGGGGGTGTTTTTATTGCTACTCAAATATGCATATACCTGTAATCTGGAAGAAGGCAGATTAAACCAGAGCCTCCAAAGTTAACATCTGATCATTTTCTACTCCGTCGATTGCCTTTTCCCTCCATTAGGGTCCATTTGGCTTTCTTACCAGGCCGACGTTTGGAACTGGGGGTGGGGGGCGGGGAGGGGGTGGTCCCAGCCAAGGTTTCTCACGGCGAGGGGCGAATTTTAATTGCTGAAACGCCTCTCCTGCTCCTGACGCGCCGTTTTTCCCTGCAGACGTCGAACGGGTGATAGGATTCGCCTCCGTGGACCTCTCCCCGCTGCTGTCCGGCTTCCAGTACATCTGCGGCTGGTACAACATCACCGACCTTAGTGGGCAGTGCCGAGGGCAGGTCAAAGTTGCCGTCTCCCCGCTCGAAAGCGTCACTCACCTGAGAGAAGAAAGGCAGGCAAGAAGAAGCCGCCAGGTAAACACGCCAGGATCCTCTCGACGTACCATTCCCCGTGTCTCTCTTGGGAGCCTTTTTGGGCTGCGCGGACAAAACGGCCTGCGAAAGAGTTTCTTCTTTTATTGTTTTATTTATATTTATGTATTTATTTATGGGGTTATTGTTTAATGAATTCACGGCTTCGTTTATTTGTTTTATTCGTTTATTTATTCTTCTATTCATTTTTTTTTTTTGCTTTCTTCTTTTCTTTCATTCATTTTACTGGTTTATTTATTGTTTGGTTCATTCTCCGGGCTTCCGAACCGGTCCCTGTTCTTCCCCACTATTCCGATTCCGCGGCTGTCTGCGCCGGCTGCCGATGCACCGCAACCATTGCATACTTTCGCCCGATTGCAGATGGTTGCAGATTCCCACCTTCAAGGCCCTGTTTTGTTTTGCAGGCGAAGGACCCGTATCCTTCATTCCCATCCTTCTCCACGAGAGCCACCCCCAGATTTTCAGGTTCTCCGTGGAAGAATCTGGAAGCTTCCAGTCATGCGAGGTAAGACAAAACCAGAGGTACAGTAGATGATTCCAGGGCTGCAAAACTACCCCTTATTTCATCCCCGGCGTTTGTTGGCAGGGGCTATTCCATCGATTGTGGGTCTGAGGTATTTCCCCAAAATTCTGATACACTAAAATTTCAAATTAGGCCCCCCCTCTTGTGTCACTTAACGGCGAGATGGGCTGCCTATACATTTAAATGAGTGAATGAATGAATGAATGAATGGATGAATGAATGAATGAATGAATATTCTTTACCAATAGTAGAGAATATATGTAGCTCGGGGTTAAACTCTGGGGGCTCTCTGAGCATGGTTGCTTTCTCACAGACATTTCATGACCCAACAAGGTAACTTTTATCAGTGCTAGAAGGGATTTGTAGAGAGGAGGAAGAAGAGGAGGACTGTGGAGTCCTTGGTGCCCTCCGAAGCTGGGTGGTTTTCTTGCAGACGTTTCATGACTCAACTAGGGAACGTCATCAGTGCTGTAGCATTAATATTTATACACTTATAACACTGATGACGTTCCCTAGTTGGGTCACGAAAGGTCTGCAACAAAACAACCCAGCTCAGACAGCACCAAGGACTCCAGAGTTTTCCTCCTCCTCCTCCTCCTCCTCCTCCTCCTCCTCCTCCTCCTCCTCCCCTTAGCACTGATGACATTACCTTAGTTGGCTCATGAAACGTCCGATAGAAAACCACCAAACTCACAGAGCATCAAAGACCTCACAGTCCTCCTCTTCCTCTCTGCAAACCCCTTCTAGCACTGATGACGTTCCCTAGTTGGGTCATGAAACATCTGCAAGAAAACCACCAAGCTTAGAGAGCGCCAAGACTTTCTTCTTCTTCTTCTTCTTCTTCTTCTTCTTCTTCTTCTTCTTCTTCTTCTTCTTCTTCTTCTTCTTCTTCTTCTTCTTCTTCTTCTTC